ATGAGTTGAGGGGTGATTTGGTTGTATATAAGGACAAAACATTTAGTAAAGTTCGAAGCAGCGGAAAAAATGTCCTGAAATTAGTAATTTGTCGGTTTATAAGATACAAGATTTCAAATAGGCTGAATACATCAATTGCATCCCATTGATTTTTTTCTTTTTTTGCATTATGGTCATCCATTTAATTGAAAACATATGGCATGATTCGTTAAATGAGGATAATCCACACCCTTACTCCAGACAATAAAGGAAATGTGCAATGAATGGTGATTATAATCATCGAAATATATAAGGTGATGTATTGAGGCAATTACTGGCGAGGGTTTTAGGTTTATGTCGTGGAGGATTGATTTCCGCCTTATCTTTTCTTTTTTTTTTCTAATTTTTTGCGTCCTTTTTGAGGTTAGGGCTGGAGGGGTTGCGGGTAGATCAGTTGCAATAGCCATTGACTTTGGTTTGCGTCCCTGTACCTAAAGATAACCTGATGGGCGTTGTTTCTTGTTGTTGATTGAAAGGTAAATCAAAGTTTTTTCTCTTTGATGAGAGTTTGTTTTTTCATTTTCCTTGTTGTCTGAAAAACGTTCTTTAGTATTTGGTGAAGATCACATGCTAGACAGAGAGGTGGTATAGTGTACTTAAGTAGGAGTTTCTTGTTCTTTAACTTCATTCCTCACTAAAAGTGTAACGTCTAATTTTTTTGAAATGTTGCTGTTTATGTCAGTTATGATAATCCAGTTATGGTATCCAGAATCAGGTTTGAATCTTGTGATGGTCCTTTTTTTATTAAGGCTGAATCTGATCAAGAAATTGGTAAATGTTGATGAATGGATTTGTGTTTATGATGCATATTGTGGCCTTCTTGTTGTTAACCTCTTATCTCATATATTCTTCTGGTTTCCCTCTTAATTTTATAGCCTATTTATGCCAGACGGGAGATGAGTTATTTTGTTTAGACCATATTGTCTTTACCAGGAAGCTACATAATCTTTACTTTGAACGGTTGCTTTTGATGTGAAACCAGCTGATGCCATTTAAATATCTGTTACCTTAACTTTCTATGTGTTGATATGTGACAAGTGATGGTGTTTTTGCTATAGGGTGTCCCCTGCTTGGACAACATGATAGCATTTCTCTGCTACTAACATGTGGAATTACCTTTGACTAAGAATGTTCTTGAAATAGTTAAATGATAGTATCAGATTTCTTATATTTACACAATGTATTTAAAGTCTATTGGTTAACTAATTTACCACACCCTTTAGTCTATACTATGGTTATATGGTGTAAGATGGTATGAGAGAGGGGTCCTTTGCAGTGATTGGATGGTCATTGTGGCATATTGGAAGACCAAATGCGCAAAAAAGAAAAGGAGACTGTTGGGCATAGAGTTGGTTTTTGAAATGTGTCATGACCTTATTAAGTGGACTTGACCCACATTATGCTCCCTAATTATTTTTGCAGGCACTCTCTGGCTCGGTTCAAACACGATAAGTCCTCTGGTTGGATGCACTACTTAAATAGGTCAAAGGAGAGGTAAAAAGCAATTCATCATTATGCCTTCTTGACCTCTTTCTCGAACATCAGATGGATTTTTTGTCCAGTGCTGTCAAAATAATCTGGTTACACTGTTCTAAGTCCATGGGGATATCTCTGTTCTTTGTTGCCTTTCTGAATCGGTGACTCTAATGTCTGAAGCTTTACTCATTGAAAGCGTAAAATGAATGCTCAGATATCTGGTCCCTAAATTCCAGAAGGAAAGGAGTTTCGTGGAAGGGGCACAATGTTTTTTTTTCCTGTGATGCTTGGCGTGCTATATTTTTCCTTTCTGCCCCTTCTCCCTGAGTTTCTTGATTGATGTATTATTTTCCTTTTTCTCAGACTCTTCCTCATATGTTCTTGTCCTGCTACTGTTTTGCTTTTTCTTTTTCGTACCAATTTTCTTTCTTTCGTTTTCCTTACTCTATCTCAACCCTTCTTTCGTCCCTCCCTCTCTCTCCTCTTGCCTTTTTTCTGCTCTATCTTTTAGGATAATACTACAGTGTTCTTTTCTTCTTCCATTTTTGGGAGGTACAGTCTTTTGTATGAAAAATGTGCCTTATTGTTTTGCAGGCTGCTTAGGTGGTAGCAATGCTACCTCCTAGAGACTGCATAGAGATTTTGTGAATGTTACCTCCATAAATTTCTATGTCTGGAACACTGATATTAAGATGCTGTCTCTTGCTGTGTTGCTTTATACAAGCTAGAGTGACATTTAAAGTTTCATAGCGACAATCGTCTATTGTCCTGGCGCCCTACATGAGGATCTAGGTTTTAGCATATGTCCTATGCTAAATTAATTATATTGGACGTTCTATAAACTTCCTTGCTGTAATCTTGTATTAACTTATGAAATACGGCTTTAATGAAAATTTCAGAAACATGTGGGCATATAGTTAACTTTGATATGAATGACTATGATTTACCCAAGGGTAATTAGCTTCTGCATTCACGGTTAAGCTTCTGTCACGAATGTGATTTCGAGTAAATTTTCTTTTCTTTTTTTTTCGTGGGGCTTTTTTTTTGGGGGGGTTTCTCGGGCTGAGGGGGGGTGGGGGCGCCTGGACCACGTCGCGCGCCAAGCCCTGTTGTGGGGCGGTGGGGGGCCGGCACCGGCTGGGGACAGCCCTCTGGGCTGTGTTTGCATACAAAGAGAGAATGTGAGATGGAAATGACTGGCACCACTAAAAGAGAGGCGATGCTTTATGATATTGGATTGACTGAGCATTATGATATTGGATTGACTGGGCACCCAATTATATGTTTGAAAGAGAGGCGATGCTTTGTGATATTGAATTTCTGACAATCTGGAAAGATGTCTGAAAATGTGTGCACAGAGGATGATATGAGGTCAGTTTGAAATGGTCTGTAGATGTCAACATAAACAAATTAGCGAGTTAGTGAGGAGTTACACTGACAAAATTGAAGAGGAGAGTCAGGAGACTAAGAGTAAGGTCTAGAACTAACCTAGATTCAGGTATTGATGTCTTTTTTTGTTCTGTAAGATTGTTGTCAGCAGAGTTTAATGGAGGAGGATTCTTGTGCTCTTACCTAAAAATAAGAATTTATGTTGTGTTTTTGTTATGTGAAGCCTACTGTAACTTGCCATGCTTTTATCGAAGTGACAACTTATATGTGTGTGTGTGTGTGTTTTGCTTCATGTGTTTTGAAGATTGGTATTTCACGTGGATGTGGACCCCCTTTAACTTTACTTTCTACTTAGGAACTCATCATTCTGAAACATGGGGATTTTAATCCACAGCCCAAGTGGCAAAGTTGCTAGTTTCTATTTCGTGAGGATGCTGTGGGTTGAGATATTTCTTTTGGAACTCAACTCTCAATCTTAATTTTTGATGTTCTAATTCTTTTCATTATTAACTAGTCTGATTAGGCCAAAGGAGTATTGTTTGAATCCTTACATATGAAAGTTGATTATGCATACTCTTTCATTAAATTTCTTTTTGACATCTCAGAAATAAAGGTGGATCTGAGGTAGGAAGTACTTTATTAATCTAATGATCTAGCCAAAAACATAATACTGCAAGAAATATTACTGTTATAGTAAAAGATTTAATGCCTGAACATGGATGAAATACAAAGTAACGACTTTTGAAAGATTTCAGAAATTACCATGAATGACACATGAAGCATATCTTGCGTGAGAACTGCTTTTTGGGCATTTTCGGTTTGATTTTATTTATTTCATACTTCAACTAAATGCAGAGGTCCTGGTTATGGCTATCGAGGCAAAGTGCTCCTTGCATTTGAAGAAAATGGGTTCTCAAAGATTGGCGTCAGATTTGATAAACAAATTTCCGACGGGAATGACCTTGGTGGATTATGTGAAGAAGACCATGGTTTCTTTTGCAGCGGTGGCTCTCCTACTCATGTTTTTTTTTGTTTTGTTTTTGAAGTTCTTGTAATAAATATATAGTCATTAAGAAGTTCATTCTATGCAAATTATGATTATATTAATTTTTTATTTCTTTTGCACCTGATTCAGCTGATTTACTTCGCCCTGATTATCCTGGGTTTGAAGATTCTGAAAGATGTGCATTTAATGAATTTATAGAGGTTGGTTTGTCATTTCTTCATATTTATCAGTTTCATAAGGTTTCTTGGCTCTCTATTGATTGGATCTTTTACCCAGGTTGTTTCTGAAGAAAGTAAATCTGGACCTCTAATTGTATTTCTCAAAGACATAGAGAAATCTATGGTTGGAGGTACAGAATCATATTTAACACTGAAAGGAAAACTTGACTCACTGCCGGCAGGAATTCTTGTAATTGCTTCTCATACTCAGACGGACAACCGTAAAGAGAAGGTAACAGTTTCTGCATGGCCATATAATTTAGCATTAATCTTTTCTTTGCTTTTGATGTATGTTTTATATTTTTCGTGACAATTTCGCTTGAATGTCGTATTTTGCAGTCACATCCTGGTGGTCTTCTTTTCACAAAATTTGGAAGCAATCAGACAGCACTTCTTGATTTTGCTTTTCCGGTTGGCTCTATTTCCTAATTTTATATTTTCCGATTGGTTCTATTTCCTAATTTTATATTTTCCGATTGGTTCTATTTCCTAATTTTATATTTAAAATGCATACTTTTTAGTCTATGCTCGTAACCAAACACTTTCTTCATTCCTTCAAATTCTTTATTGTTCGTGTTTTTACAACAACAATAAACAACAAGGCCTCTCTGACAAATTTGTGGGGTTGGTTACTTGAATCCTTTTCTTGCATTCAGTTATATTGAAGGTCAGCTCCTCCGTTAACTGTTATCATACCTTTTTTAACTGCTTCCAATTTAGTTTTTTATATCCACCTCTAGTTCTCTTTGTTCATTAACTATAATCTTTTCACTTCTCCTAAATGGTGCATCTTCGTGTATATCTATAAGACCATTCTAACATTCTCTTTTTTGCTACACTGAGTTTGGGCACATGTTATTTTAATTGCCCAACATTCTGATTCATGAAGTATTGTCGGTCTTATAGCCGCTTTCTAGAATTTTCGTTGTAATCTCAAAGGCATGCTATGGTCACAGAAGATTCAAGAAGGATTTCACTATTTTAACTATCCTGATTTAATTCGATAAACCCCATTATTCTTAATCTCAGTAAATAATTGAGGTGACTACTTCTAGGTATTTCTTTTTTCTTTTCTTCTTGATTCTTCTTACTCATACTAATTTTTGCAGCGCAGTTTCATTACCACAAAACTGAAATAATTCGTCAAGTACTCTCATAAATGATGCACTTTACTATAAAAGTCCTTTATTGCAGAGAAATGTAATGTTTGCAATCAATTTTTTTGGGTAGATGATCAAAAGATCTATATGCTGTAAGATAACAGTTATACTGATGGCAAGCATGACCTATTGCAATGCGTGTCAAGCCCTGAGCTCGTGATCCGGTTGCCATAGTTTAAGCCGTGGGACCCACTAAGAGCAACTCATTGTTTGGCTAAATTCACTGCAAAAAGTGCTAGCACTTGTTATTTTTGAGCCCTTTGGATTACATTGTAAGCACTTCAAAGTCCTCATCACTTTCTGTTGTGGGACTATTCTTTTGGGTATTATAGTCATCCGCCCAGTCACCCCACCTTAATAACACGATACTCATGCGGTGTAGCACTTAATTATGCGTAGCACTTAACTCCACATTTTCACCTGGCTAAGTGCTTTGATTCCATTTGTCATGTCCAAGGCCAGCGAGCCTATTAGCACGGTGTAAGTCGTGGGATCCACTGAGAGCAACTCGTTGTTTGGCTAAATCCACTGCCAAAAAGTACTAGCACTTGTTACTCTTGAGCCCTTTGGGTTACATTGTAAACACTACAAAGTCCTCATCACTTTCCGATGTGGGACTACTCTTTTGGGTATTACAGTCACCCCACCTTCATGTCAAAGTTTATAACCTCCACTTTAATGAGTTATCAGAGTATATACGGATTCACATGTAAACACAGTCGTGTCAAAGTTCCGTACTAATCACATCAATAGCTTAACTGTGTGAAACCTATTGCTAAAACTATAAAGAGAAACTTATCATATGTAATAGAGACTAGAGAGAAGGTTATCATCGAGTGCAGAACCGATATAAGGTCATAAAGCATAAAAGCTTTAAAACTAAAAGAAAACAGCAACCAATTCTAATAATTAATCCTGTCCAAGAAGACCATATGAAAAGATTCAAAATTTTAAACAAAGAGAGAGAAATATGCTTGTCGTCCCGAAGAGGACTATTTGACACCCTATTTGATCCTCTTCAAGCTCCAGGCGTTGCTCACTTCCTTTTCTTCTCTCTCTCTCTCTGTGTGTGCGTGTGTGTGGGTGTCTTTTTGTGAGGTAAAAGAACGATAGTGGCAAGGAAGATTTAAGGAGGAAAAATATTGTTAGCAAGAGATAGGATAGATGTGGATTTGTAGGGATATTAGTTGAGATTTTATTTATTTATTTTTCCTGTTATTCCTCCACTCCTTGAGAAAATCCCACAGTAGAGGTGAGGAAGTGGTGAAGATATTTCTGAGTTGGGTTTTAAGCCTAATGAGCCTTTAGACTAAGCCAAACCTTCATTGGGTCCTCTAAAGAAAATAATTCAATCTAAAGCATGTTGTGGGCCTTAGGATAAACTTAATTGATAAAAAGATTAGCGCATATGCAATAACGACATATATGCATTTGTTCCAACAAAAAACATATCATTAAGTGGCCTTGACAATAGGTGTATATGGCATTCTTGAAGGGAACCTTTTATTTGATGTATTTGAATATAGTTTTAACATGGCGCGTGCAGATTTATCTGTATGAATTTGCATATTTCTCTTAATAAGACGAGTACTGATACTTCGTATTTTTCATGCTACCTTGGGAATCAAAATCTCATTTGTTAAATCAGGGCATGCATGTTTGCTTGAGGACTAACGAAGATCGACTAGAAAGTTTATTCTGATTTAGATCTAATTTCTTATTCTTCTCCTGTTAGTGTGTTTTAAACTCTTCATTTTCTGTATGCTTCTGATGTTTTACTGTGTTTCCCCTGTAATGTTTACCAAACTCCCTGTCACATGAAACTTTTGGCATGTGAAGGGTTTGGCATGTGAAGGGTTTGACATAGAACCTGATAAATGATCGACAGCATGAAAACCTACCTTCTTGATTGCATAATTTAAGCTCATGCCCCTGAGGATCTGCTACCAAGAGTTTTTATATGTGCTTGCTTATACAGTCCAGTAGCTGAAGATAGTGGTTTCTGCCTTTCACAATCACATTTTCCTTTGATTGTATACACCGAGGATCTGAATCAAAACATGGCAATATGAATTTTTTTTGACATGCTAGTTTATAGTTTTTAGATAGGATATTATTTCTTTCTGCTCCGAAGAAAGGAAGTTATACGGTTCATTAACCTTGCATAATTAACCTTATATATTTGCTCCAGTTGAAGTAGCAAACAAGCAACCCTACCTGAATCATCCTTCTTGCAGTAGCACTCTAGTCCATCATTATTGACAAGGAAATATTTGCAAGTAAAGGGATGTGATGCTGGGATGAATGTATATGAGATAGAATCGATTTGTTCCGGTTATCTCTTTGGCATCCACAGAAGAAGCAGACCTTGGTTTGAGTAAAACAAAACTCCACTCTTTCTAAAGATAAACAACAGAAGCGGTCACTGTCAGTGAGCTAGGGCATTCACTAACTAATTGAATTTCGGGGATTTTCTGCCACTCAAATAGTTTGATTTGGAAAAGCTTGCTAGATTACTTGCATCTTTCAGCTTTACAAGAATAGGTTTAGATCTGACATACATAGGTTGCTGAAGATCCTAGTTCACAATGTGCCTACTCGCCTCCCTTTTTTATTCGTCTCTGAGGTTAAAGGCCCTCTATTGGCTCTGGATAGATCAGATCAAGGTTTGGTAAAAAGAACTGATATATGGCATCAGCGTCAGCTTACCTTTTCCATCTAAGTGAATTGTTACGGACTCAGATGAATTGTTCTGCTCCAGTTGGCCTTTTGACTCGGCTCACGTTTCTTAGAATCTCGATTAATGTTTTTAAGGACCGGAAAAGCAGACTACTGTTGGAAGTTCCATCATGAGTTTGGTAGGTGATAAGTTGTGCTGAAGTAGTGTTCATTTTGAGAAGAAATATGGTGCAACCTTTTCAGCTGAATGGATGTCTGTTGCTGTCCAGAATGTCGATCTAGATATATGAGAGGGGTCGAACCTTCATGGGAACTAACAACGTTAACAATTGAAGTTTGAATTGATTGAAAAACTATGAAAGAAACCTAATCCCCTCATGAACTTACTGTTGGGCAAAGACGTGTGGCCTGGACTTGGTGAAGTCCCTCTAGCACCGGAGCTAAGTGGTACTTTTCATGAGTACTAGGCATCAGAACCATTATGATCCTGGTCAATAGCTACAATTTGTGTTATCTACACAATATATTGGTAACTAAGTGATCTCACTCTAAATAGTTTTTGTATTATATTTGTTTGAGTATAACTTCTAGCATAGGCTAAGGAGTTTTTGAGTTTGTTAGTGTAAAATTATAACCCTCAATCTTCACCACAACGTTGGAATGGTGGTGCGTCGGAGAGTCCTTTGACATGACATTACAACAATCCTGGTTTTAATGTTGTTGACCATGAATCTAATCAGATTTTAAAGGAATCATACTGCTCTACAAGTCAAGGTTCTTGCCCATGAAAGACACTTGTCCTGTTAAGGCATGTTAGAGTATGAAATTTTAATCCTCAGCCCTCACCACAACTTTAATGTTTTGGTGTAGTAGTGTAATATCCTTAGTAATTGACGGTTGAAAATTCAAGAAATCTCAATCTGGAATTGATACTAAGAAGTGAGTTGCGTTTATAAGGTGTTGATTTTTTTTGATAGTTCCACTGGATCCAAATGATGGATATTTCGTAAGTATCTAAGTGATAGTAAATATAAATAAGACTACACATCAATTTGCAAGATTGAAATTTGTTGCAATACCTTACCATCCGAGCTCTTCCTTTTAGACCAGAGCATAAACAAATAAATAAAGTAGATGTCTACATGAGGTGTACATATGGATTAAGAGTTGATATGAGATGCTCAAAGGAATTACATGTCAAGATAAGGTGTTATTAGTAAAACATCCAACCTTGATAAAAATGACTACATGTTGCATACCCTCAAAGTTATTAAATATAAATAAGACTACATGTGAACTTGCAAGTTTTAGTAGTTTGAAATATGTTGCATACCTTCCTACTCGAGCTACTACCTTTAGATTGGAACAAAAACAAATAAGTAAATTAGATGTCAGCATGAGGTGTGCTATTGGATTAAGGGTTGATATGAGATGCTCAAAAGAACTACATAGGAAAACACGCAACCCTCTACTAGCCAATAAAAAAAAGTGAAAGTTAGTAACTGACCTATTAAGGTTAGTATGCAAATGAGTAAGTACTGTACTAGTTACACAATCAAAATTTCAAGCCAAACTAATTTGAGCAGTTCACACTGAAGGGTTTGTGTAGGTGCTTCACAGAAGGAGGGATGATGATATATTATATATTTGTATGTAGAGAGACGTAATTAAGAATAGAGGATCAATGAAGTATTCCCAAATATGTCCTTAGACTATGATAGTCAATAAAAGATTTTAATCTACCCTAATCTTTGGCGAGTTATTGTTTATGAAATAGTGATTTAGAGTGTATATTTGCTAATTGATACTAAAAGAAAGTGATTGTAATGAAATCCAGTTAAAGTCCAAAGGAAGTATTTTATTTTGTTTAGAGTTATATTGCTTGTCTTATAACTTCAACGAGAAGTACGAAAGAGAGAAAAAGTACAAGTTAACAGTATACGCAAAGTGATAGGTGACTTTATGCGTCTGATTTGCCACCTGGCACCTAGCTACTTAGGTAGACACTTAAGCGCCATCTGGACAGTTTTTCTTTTTGTTTTAAGTTATGATAATTGATGAAACATTAAATTCATAACAAAGTAGAAAAATATGTAACCATGCATTATTGTTCACTAATTAAAAGAAACAATGAATAAATTTAAACTAACACTAACAATGAAGAAGACTAACATTGAGCATAAAAAGTTAGGATAAGTATTAATCACTAATTTCATTGAACAATTTCAGTGAATGGTTTCAGTGAATAATTTCATTAATTAAACTAAAATAATAGTGAACATTTTTAGTAAATATCTATGACAAATTCATAATGAAATTAAGTTACAAAATACTAATAATGAACAATTTCGATGATTTACTAAACTAAACTGTTCCAACAATGAAAAATAGTGAATAATGCTAACCATACTTATATAGTGAAGGAAAAAAGTAAAGACAATGATCTATAGAAAGTAAAAACAACTAACAATTTCAAGAATTAAAAGTAATTTTGCTGAAAATGAAACAAGTGAAGGGATTTCACACCTAGATGGAAGAGAATTGCTCAAGAAGTTAGGGATTCATTTCTAGAATTTCTTTGGTGGGCTTCCTTAGTGTTGATCAAGAGCTTTGGTAGAGAGCTTTTGGAGGACTTGGTGCAGGAGGAGGGACCTTGTGAAGGAGATGGAGATTGGAAGATGAGAGAGATTGTGATGGAGATGGAGACCAACTTCAGAGACGGAGATCATCAGAGAAATTTTTTTTCTTATCAGGAGATTGATTAAGAAAGCATGGATCTATTTTTAGGGTTTCTTTGACGGGCTTCCTTGGTATTATTCGAGTGCATCAATGGAGGAGAGGACTGACCTGGCGCACAAGGTGAGAGTTTGTAGAAAAGATGAAAACCGACAAAAGAGAGTACTTGTGATGAGGGAGAGCTTGAAGAGGAGAGTTGCAGAGTAGAGAGCGACGAAGGAGATGGTAACCAACATCGTTGATAGAGACCAACATTGTGTTTTGGATTTGAGATTAGGAGAGGTGATTTTTTTTTTGTAGAAGTAGAGGAGTTTAGCTGTTTAGGTTAAAATAAGGTTTATGAAAGTTGGTCATTGATAGAGACCAACATTGTTTTTGGAATTGAGATTAGGGGAGGTGATTTTCTTTTGTTGAAGTAGACGGGTTTAGGTGCAGATAAGGTTTATGAAAGTAGTTGGGTATTTATTTTAAGTTTTGAAATTAAATAGCTGAGCATGCATGCTTAAGCGAGCTAACCAGGGTCAGAGGAAGTTACATGGGATCTAAATGGTATAATTGTCAATAAAAGGCCACCTAGGTTATTTTAAGCGGAGGAGCTGCCACTTCTAGCATGTAGGTACCCGTCTAGGCCTCTTTTTGAACATTGAGTTTAAAAGGTGCAAATTTCAAGCAAGTATTCTATCCCTTTTCAAATTTGGAGTTATTTTTTTAGTAACGATTAATTCTCATATGAGTTCCTAGACTACTTAGAGATGTTGGGGGGCTTTAACTCGCCCTTTGGAGATGTTCAAAGTAGTTTTAATGTGAGGTCTATGGAGATTACTAAAGTCATTATACTTCCTAGATCATTATTGTACTGTTTCTTTGACATGTTTGGGTAACAATATATGAGAATTCTTGACTCTTTTCTTAGATGGTATAACATAAGAATAATGAAGAAAAGATGATGGTAGATACCCCAAATATAGGCCTACATTATACGAGAATTCTTGACTCTTTTCTTAGATGATATAACATAAGAATAATGAAGATCAACTAGGCTTATTTTAGCAGTGCATTGAGCCAAAGTACGTGTCGCGTTTAATGAGTCGAAGGACTTACATCACCCAAACTGGCTCACATGCCTGGGGCGTAACAAATGGTATTAGAACAGTTAGCTAGTCAGAAGTATGAAACTAAGTGTTATACAAGACTAATTGTTGCATAGCTTGAGCTCGATGAGAGGCAATTATAGAAGTTGTAGGAGCCACCTCTAGAATCAATATCATTTGGCGGTGATGTTGGGACATACTAATTATTATCTCGCGATAAATGTCACATATTTGAGGTGGGGTAAGTGTGATATCCCGAATATGATATCCTGAATATAATCCTACATCAGAAAGATGTGGTGCATAGATGAGTTTGAATAGTCTGCAAGGGGAGACAAGTGGCAAGGTTATCTAGCCATTTTTGATGACAAATTGACCCAAACCATGTGTTGTATTCAATTGGTCTCAAGCTTACATCATGCTAATGAGATCGTGGACTCTGAGCAACTCAATGCAATACATGATTTATTGTGAGTTTGATACAGTCTTGCATTAAATAAATGTGGTGATATAACTGAGTTTGAATAGTAAGCCATGGGAGACAAGTGACAACATTAGCTAGTCATTTTTGGCGGTGGATTGAGTCAAACTATTCGTTGCCCTCAGTGGATTACAAGGCTTACATTATGCCAATGAGCTCGTTGGCCCAAGGCGTGACACAATGCAGTGTATGATTTATTGTGAGTCTAATGCAGACATCTAAGCGAATTATTTTGGTTATCGAATGAAATACTAGAATTGATTTTATATTAATTTACTGTAAGTTCAATCTCAGCACCAACTAAGTTATTTTGGTTAAAGGCGGGGATTGATTTTATATTATGGATATCCATATGGAATTTCTCAGCTATTCTCTGAATGAACACTTATTGGATTTTCAGATTTAGATTACTTGATGGCAAGCATTTTTTCTGCAAATGTAGAATATATGAAATGGATGGGTTGCTGAGTAATCTTGCTCATTCCATTCCTTAATTTTTTCAGAATAAGTTCAACTTTAAATTGCGCACCCCGAAGTACAAAGTTTTGAAGGGAAGATTTGCCAAACATAACTATCGGGTAAAGCCCCTTTGTTTTCTTTCTTATTAAAGAGATAGTTTATGGTATGTGCTATTTAGAATATGTTATAGAATTTGAAATAATAGTGAATTTGAGTTTACACGAAAGATCATGAATATTGGATGGGATAGTGATATTATGTTCGTTTCGAAATTTCGAAAGAACTTGAATATAGACATGCTGCTTTGGAGTTATATGATAGAAATTCAATGACCGACTGCACCAAGTCGTGTACCCTGGGGTTGAATCCCTATTGGATCTTGTGCGCGTAACAAGTCGCATGACACCCTAATTCTAAAATAATGCTACCTCGGGGACGTGGATCGGTTTTTGTTGTAACCATTTGTAATATTCACGGTTCCAACTCCTTTCATACACAAATATTTACTAAAAGTATACCGTGGAGCATGTAAAATCTGTGCAACACATGACTCAGAAACAAGTAATGTCTAAAATGGAACTACCTAATATGAAGAAAGAAAAGAAATCTAAAACTAGTGAGGAAAGATGTGAACAATTCTTCTCAATTTGCTCTTAGAGGCACACAATATTGGCACAATTAACTTTGATACTAATTATTTGTACACAAATGGCGTCGATACAAAGTGTTCATATCAGTGTGGAAGCATGTGTCTTAACTAGATCTCCATTATACTAGGGCAAACGATCACCTCGCAATAGGGAAACACTGAGATAGACAAACATTCAAACAAAGGGAAAATCTCACCACAATAATATTGTAGAAAAGATAAATACGTGCGGAGTGTTAGAACATAAAACTGTAACTCTCAACTCCTTACCATAGCTTTGGAGTTTGGTATAATGGTTAGGACTTTCACATGGTATCAGAGCTAACACGAGTTTTAATCTAGCTAGCCATAAATTTAATGCCGATTCAAAATTTTTTTCCCTCTATGTGAGTCCAGGTTTTAGTTGATAAAAGGGGCGTCAACCTGTAGGTACATGTTAGAATATAAAGCTATAACCCTCAATTCTCATCATAACTTCGAAGTTTTGGTATTAATGATATGGACTTTCACACAAAGATATATGATTTATGTGGTTCAATGATCACCTACGTCTATAGGGAGATTTGAATTTATTTTATTTCTAGTGATTACAAAGATATAATCTTTCTTGCATTCCTCAAGAAACCCTCGAAATCTCACCTAAAGATCCTTATGAACCCTAAACTTGTCTTCTTTGTTTTTTCTCTACGACTATTTTACAATGCGTAACTCTATTTTGAATGTTTTACAATGAATCTCCCAAGAGGTATTTAAAGAGTTGTTCCCCATCTCGAATCCACGTGAGGTCCTTTTGACTTTGATTATCAATTCCTAATCGTTTTTCACTTGAAATTATTTCATTCCAATCAAATTCAAATCTCCTGTCAATTACAAACTAGGATTACCAAAAATACAAGGGTAAATCTTAACAACTCCTTCCCCACTACAACAAAATAATCTCTAGATTTGGATAATCAGTTTCAGAGTTGTAGAAAACTTCCAACAAGCGTGATGAGTTTGAAAACTCTTATCAAGTGTGAAAATGAAAAATGGTGATGTATGTGTGACAGAGTATAAGTTTGATTGAAAAAACATACTAAGAAGCAATAAGTAAATGTTAGACATTAGGCTACTATAAACTACTAAGCACATGCTAGAGCATACTAGAAGGACATAACAATGTCGATGGATATTTAAAAAGGAAAACACATGTATTTGCATAGCATCCATCCTAATAAAACACATAAAATATCATGTTTTGTAAATGTTATTTGAATTAGAGGTTAATAGTTCCATTTATATAACCTAACTCCTCGTAGTCCCCAAGAACACGTCAATATTGTAAATTATTATGGCATTGTGCTCATTAAAATATGAATGTCCACGTGAACTATGATACCGCTTATATGAACTTTACTCATTGTTTTCTAATTTCCTATGACTTAGCGCAATGATATATTTTTTATCTTTTGAAAATTCATGTGATAATTTATGCTAAGCTTGACTAGTTCAAGTGATTTCAATGTACAATGCTGAAGTATATTTTACCTATTTAGACACTTGAATCCCTATATGTTATTGTATCCCGTAAATCACAAGCTCAAAATATAGCCAAGTACATGTCAGATCAAAAATGATCTTATCATCTAGTTGATGCATTTGCTTACAATCCATGCACAGTTTACCTAGTATATGTTATACATGATCAATCAATAGTCCTCACACAATATCATCCCTCTCAAAAATTGGAAAACACATCAAACTCATCAATATCATCGTGACGAGTTGCCAAATCCTATATCGATATATCGATCAACATTTAATACACTGCATATGTTAATTTAATACATTTGTTACACTGCATATGTTAATTTAATACATTTGTTATATACTTGAATATATATCCACCACTTCACATACACTTCTTGAAACTCGTTGGACATGAGCCGAGGTTTGTTTCAGCATGTACCTAGTTCAAAACTATAATTTTTAAGGGTCATTTCGATCATGTTTAAAAAACAATAGATTTTCTATTTTATAGACCTATATAATAACAGAAATGTTAATTTTTTCATGACAAATGATTTAAAAGATAATATTGATCAAATGTAAATTATTGTTATATGTACGTATGTATGTGTGGTCGTGTCTCCATACCCTACTTTTTACTAAAATTTTCATTGTCCCGTACTCCTGCTCATATCTGTACCCATACCCGTATCTGTGTAACTTAGGTGATAACCAAGACATGTTTACGGTTTGGGTGATGATCGTGATATGTCTTCGGTTGTCATTTGGCTTAGTGCAAAAAGCATGCAACTAATGTGAGGTTGTGCCTCAAGTGTTTGCCAAGGATGCTTGGTCGTGTGCATGATCAAATAGAGGGGTTACTAGCTGGGTACTTCATTAAGGTTACTTTTCATAGTAATAATGGTGCATGAATATAGAATTTTAAGAATTTTAGATTGTATCTCGGTCGAAAGTGACTCAAAAGTCCTAGTTTAATGAACTATGGAGGTTGAATTAACCAAGAGACGTGGGGGAGGGGACCAGCTAGGTTTATGTATGTCCTCGGGAATATAGTTTGTAGACAAGTGATGGAGTCAGGGGGGTTGCGAATTTGGCCATGGACCTTGTGCTGCCAGAGTGTTTGCCAATTGGTATTTCAACTAGGTTTATAAACAAATTTCTGGTAAAAGCATAGAACATGAATAATTTCTCTTATTCTTTGAATAAAATTAAAATAGTACTTAGTTATGAAAAATAGATTGGTGAGAAAATAACAAACGTAGTTGTTTGCATTTTAGCGCAAATATGAAATTCAATATTTAAAACTTTTGTTCAGGAAAGATTGAATCTTTTAAAAAATATTTTCTGTTCCTAGAGTTCAAATGTTTGAATTTATTAGATGCATATGATTATTAGATGCATATGATTATTGAAATTAGAATCATGATGTTTTTTTAAAAATATTTATTTGTGATCAATATTTAAATACGATTTGATATGAAAATTTGACAGGATCGATAATCACTATCAAATAGTCTCACTCATGCAATCCCAAACAAAGTCGTATCTCGCTTATACCATGAAATCCTTTGCAAGAAAATATAATCAACACGGTCTCTCATAATATCTACTTGTGAGCAATATGAACTAAAAGCTTAACTTAGTTCTAACTTAAGGATATTGTGGAAAAGTGATGAATTAAAGAGATCCAACTAAGAAGAGCGTTATAAAGCATAATTTTCTCTTAGTATGCGATCCACCCCTAATGGATAATAAAGGATATATGAGCATGAGTTATAATTTATAAATTATAATTGACAACAATATAAAATACATGTTGACTCAAACCCTAAAGATATGATGAGTGTTAATATACTAATCATGATCTGCTAATTCAAAAGCAAAGCAACATAAAAGTATATTCAATTAGTTTTATATCATAGAATCACTTAAATTAAATATATAAATGGAGGAAACCAAAGAAGCAATGATGTTGAGAACGCTTGCCATTATAACTCTCTCTCTCTCTCTCTCTCTCTCTCTCTCTCTCTCTCTCTCTCTCTCTCTCTCTCTCTATCTCTCTCTCTCTCTCTCTCTCTCTCTCTCTCTCTCTCTCTCTCTCTCTCTCTCTCTCTCAGGTTTGATCACATGAGAACAAGAAACTTTGGTATCGCTTTGTGTTTTTAGCGAGAATGTGAGCGAGACGTTAGAGGGGTGGTTTAATAGAGATTAGAGTTGTTAAGATTACCTTAAGTTTTAGAGTGGGGTGGTTCAATAGATATTAAGTTGCTAATATTTGTTTGAAGTCTAGGTATAGGGGGTTAATGGGGTTAATGGGTTGTCAATTTTGAATTTTTAAAATAATTGGATTTCAACTTAATTTGCCTTATGAATAGACGATGATTTAATTTAAACAAAACAAGTGGGCCTAAATACAATTCTTAATAACAAAACAAGAAACTTTGTTAAGATTACCTTAAGTTTTAGAGTGGGGTGGTTCAATAGATATCATGTATGACTTTAAATAGACAAATATCTTTGATGACAGAGAGGGAGGGCGTCCAATTTGCAAAAAACATGATTGTACAAAATTATCCTGCCACCTCACTGACATGTGAGGTACCTACACTGATGGGTTCCAAAGAGGACATACTTAGGCAATACACGAGGGACCTCTATTAAAGTTTTGCCAGTAGGTAATATGTTTAACATACATAATACTATACAAACCGTATCAATATTACCAGTTGCGCTAGTAGTGGGAGGATCCTTGAGTGAGTTGACATATAATATAGTTCTTGTGATGTATATATTTTATGGGCAGACAAATGGATGTATATGCCATTCAGATTTGGAATATGAATTTGTTGTGTTGTATATCTTGGAAGATGGCTTATTGAACATATCAGAGACATGCTAAGTTCTCTTGTTAAGAGGATTTGTGGTGGGCTATCACTCAACCTTAATTTTTTTATTAGTTGATGTTTGTGTTATTTTGGTGCACAACAATAATGTTAGTATTTATAGAAGCAGTGCATCAAGTCGTCGTAGAAAATGTTATTTTGACAAGCTTCAAAGTTCAGATAAGCTTCAAAGTTCAGCCATGTAGTATGTGTTTATTTCGTACAGACTAAGCATTGAGTTAGACCATTTTTTTAAAAAGCCTCCGCCTAGTCCTAGGTGTACGCCTAGGCCTAGGCGGTACCTAGGCCGCCTAACTAGCTCCAAGCATCTAGACGGTACTTAGGCTGCCCACTTAAGTTTTACGAGTGTTTACGAAAGCAGCACTGTTTTAAAAAACCTCCGTCTAGGCCGCTTAGGCATACGCCTAGGTCTAGACGGTACCTAGACCGCCTAACTAGCGCCTAGTGCCTAGACGGTATTTAGGATGCCCACCTAGATTTTACAAGCGTTTAGGGGAGCATTGTCTGTTTACGTGGATTGCACCCTGTAGGTCTTGATTGTGATTTTATGTGTCATAGCCTACACGTCCTCCAAACTTCATTAACCTCCAAATATGAACACCTCCACTACCTCCTCCGACCTTCAGCAAAACCTCATCGACCACCACTTAAATGAAGAAAGAAAAAAACGTCCAGAAACCGCTTAAGCGCCCGCCTAGGCGACTAAGCGCTGGGCGCCAAGTCCGACGCCTAGAAGCGCCCATCGTTTAATGTAACATTGGAAAGCAGTGTCTGCTTACGTGGACTGCACCCTTTAGGCATTGATTGTGATTTTATGTGTTGTAGCCTACACGACCTCCTCCAAACTCCATTAACCTCCAAATATGAACACCTCCACTACCTCCTCCAACCTTCAGTAAAACCTCCTCGACCACCACTTAAATGAAGAAAGAAATACGCATAGACACCAGTCCGGTATCTAAGCTTTCTATAACATTACACACTATCAATTATTATAATTAAAAAAATAAAAAAATAAAACGTCGTAGGCTCTAGTCTTGTTAGTTATTATTTTGGCTATTTAGTATTTAAGTATGCATGATTTATTGTCGAATTAAGATTGCTATATTTTTAAAAAAATTTATATGAATTTAATACATATTTTTATTAATTATTATAATTAAATAATTTTAAAAATAGCCAAGCGCCTAGGTGCCGCCTAGGCATACATCTAGGGCTCTAGGCGTTAGGCACTCGCTCAAACACCTAGTCCGCCTAACGTCTTCTGTAACATTGGAGTTGACACACCAAACACCAAAAGAGAAGTAACTATTTGTTTTTATATGGTTTATGACGAATTATGCGTTTGTGTGCAATTCCCATGCATGATTTCCGATAATGTGTTGACCCACATATTATCTTTCCTAAGGTTATCAGTTTTTTCCTGTTGATCAATGGGTTAGGTCGCTCAATGAGGTCGTTAATAGCATAAACCGGATATGTTCTCAATGGAAGAACAACAATCGGACCTACGTCCATTGGAAATCACACAAAGAGATGATACCAACAACAAAGCCCATCTAGCTGAATCTCAGCTAAACCGACCAATGAGAAAAAGATTTGATGTATACCTTGCTGCACTTCCTTTGACTCTTTATGTGAATGGACATCTTTATATCTTATCTAGTCAATTTTGTGAACCAGCAATCTGTTAAGGCTTACTCTAAAGTGGTACTTCAATTTGCTTCTTCCTGCTAATTGTTGTTGATTGTATGTTGATTCATTTCTTATCTCTCTGTCTGGATCTGAACGTGATTTTAACAAGCTTGGAGTTTTTTACATTTTTTTATTGGAGCTGGCATTGATGGTACGATTCATTTCATATTAGTTTTATTGTTGAAGTATGTCAGTATCTGTTATCCTGGAGAGTTCTTAGAGCTGCATGTTGTACTTGCATCTTGAGGCACCAATTACCACGGACATAACCTTTTTCTCATTTTACCTAATTTTAGAAGTAATGCATCGATTTCCTTGTTGCTGTAGGATAATTTCAGTAGGTTGCATGATAGAAGCAAAGAAATTCCCAAGACAATGAAACATCTCAGCAAGCTTTTTCCAAATAAAATGACAATCCAGCTACCCCAGGTACATGTTTGACATTTAAATTTGTTGTGATTCTGTGTTAAATTTTTATACACAATGTTCTAAGTAATCATGGGATGTTTCAGGATGAAGCTCAACTTGTAGATTGGAAACATCTTTTGGACCGCGATGTTGAAACTCTGAAAGCCAAAGCTAACATTTTGAGTATTCAGTCTGTAAGTTGCAACTATCTGGTGTTCGAAAAGTACTTTCTTTTTATATGAATGCCTATGCTTAATTCTAGGAGCTAGTGCTGACGTCATTGAATCTATATTTCAAGGAATTACTGTCCATTATGCTGATAGTTTTCATTTGCAAGACTCCTTCAGGGTTTATAGTTATTCAGTTGCATGCATCTTCCTACTACTAATGATCTTTATTATTCTGAATAGTGATTTTTATTATTCTGATGCAACAGTAGTCTGTTTTCAATGCAAACATTTAAATATGACATAATAGCAGAGCTAATTTTGTTTTAGTTTGTTTTTTTTCATATTTTGGATATCTGTTGTCTATACAAATGCAGGTTTAGAAATATATACATATACTAGATGCCCATACACGCTTACATGATATATACACACATGTATATATCAACACAAAGTACTTGAATTCTGACTGTTAGCAGCTATTGGCTTATGCATGCACAAATAGTTGCAATTGATCTAGTGCATCTACATTTGGTAAATTCCTTGACAACATCTGTATACTATATTTACATTTTGCAGACAGCAATATTTACACCATTTGGAGGTAATGAGGTTATGTTTTCCACCCAAAGGCTTCACTTGCAGATTGCATTGGCCTGCGTCCGTTGAGTATGAAACTGGCCTCAAATTGTCTCTCTGGTTAAGCTTTTAATGTCTCATTTAGTATGTGGGAATTAAGTGAAGTGAAAGTGGAATGAAACAAGGACTGGATGACATGGAATGCATATGTGAATGGAATGCTAGTTTCCATTCTGATGTTTGGGTGCAATTAGAGAATGAAGCAGGACTTAGTAAGTTTCATGAAAGTAAATGGTAGATTTCATGAAAGTTTCGGTTCGGGAAGAGTCTATTTCATAGTGTTTTCTGAACTCCCATACAACTTTCAAATTCTTGTGGTCTAAAAGAAATAAATTTTGATGTAGAAACTTGAAAAGGGTCACCCTCTAACTATGGGAGATTTAAGTACTCCAGATTTTGGGTTTCGGAATTTTTTTTTCTTGATTTGAATTTTACTGTATTTCATGAAAGTAAATAAGATTGGAAATTAGTTGACTGCAAACAGTGGGTATGTTGACAAATTTCCATTTATTTTGTTCGTTAATGAATTCCTATCCACTGCCTGCCACCACTATAGCTTAGCTGGTTGGAGTGCCGTGCTAATAATCCAAAGATCGCTGGTCGCCTACCTGCATGATGAACTTCAATAAGAACTTACTTGGTCAGGCCTTTAATTTTTGTCTTTCCACTGCCCACCTCAAGCCAGGTAAGGAGGAGGGTTGCATTAAGTATTAAGTAGCTGACAAGTAGAGTTAACCCTAGTCGCATCTTCATGATATGCAGAAAGTTGATTGAGATGGTTTGGCATGTGCAAGTATGCCACCAATTGCACCAATTGAAAGACAGATAAGATCATAACTACCGGGAGGACTAGAAGTAGGTCTAAGAGAAACTGGTTGAAAGTTTCAACCAGTTTCTCTTAGACCTACTTCTAGTCCTCAAAGTAATTAAGAGGGACATGATAGTGGTTAATTTAATGGTGGAGACTGCTGTAAAAAAAACTGAACTTAAGGATATTATTCCTGTAGTTGACCGAAAAAAATTGGGATAAAGACCTTTTTTGTTGTACACTATTACTATCTCTCTTACACTCACATTTCTGCATAAGTCACATGGGTGTAGAGCACTTCTGTCTTGACCCCATATCCACAAGACTAGCCATCAGACGAGATTTTGCATCTTTTCAGTTTCTTTCTTGGATTTTAAAAGTCAAAGGACTGATAGAGGTGGCACTTCACTTCTGCTGTGGTCCGTGGTCATGTAACGGAAGAATTTCTTGTATGTATATATGTAATGATGCCTGTGGATGTGTAGGCATAAATACGTGAAAATACTGATATTTATGTAGGATACAGTCAGATGAGATGTATTCCCTTGCATCTTTAGTGGTGACGATGATGACAATGACAGCAATGGTGATGCAAACGATGTCTTAATGCCAGAGTTAAAAGTTATAGTTCGAATTGGGAATATTTTGGTTAGCGATGGAGGTTTTCTTCTGCATTTTGTTTTGGATATGGAGAAGGTGGTGGTGATAAAGGAGGTTGAAATGCCAATAGAGAAGATAGTTGTGGTAGTGGTGGTGAAGGATTAGAGGTAGGTCCGAGGGACACTTGTTGAAAGTAATTAAGAGGAGCATGTTAATGGTTAATTTAACGGTGGAGACTGCCTAAAAAAACTGAATTAAATGATATGATTCATGTAGTTGACCTGAAAAGTTGGGATAATACTTCGTTTTAGTTGTACAGTATTAATATCTGCTCTTTTATTCACATTTCTACATATGTCACATGTGTAGAGCACTTCTGTCTTCGATCCCAAATCCACAAGACCAGCCATCAGACAAGACACTATGTATCTTTCCAGTTTCTTTCTTGTGATTTTACCCACAGCCAAGGACTGATAGAGGTGGCACTTCACTTCTGCCATGGTCAGTGCTCATGTAACAAAAGAAATTCTTGTATATATGTGTGTAGTATGTCTGTAGATGTGTATGCATAAATACAAGAAAATACTGATATTTATGTAGGATACAGTCAGATGAGCTGTATTCCCTTGCATATCTCTAGTGCTGACGATGATGACAATGCCAGCAACGGTGATGCAAAGGTTTTCTTAGTGCTAGGGCCTAGGGTTAAGACTTAAGAACAATAGACCGAATTGGGATTTTTTTTGGGGTAAGGATGGAGGTTTTCTGCTGCATTTTGTTGTGTATATGGAGGAGGTGGTACCGTGGTGGTGATAAAGGACGTTGAGATGTCAATAGAGAAGGTAGTTGTGGTGGTGATGGAGGTGGTGCTGGTGGATCTGGTTAGGTAAAGAATTGAATGGTCTATGTAAGAATTGATTTAATTGATAAAATCGGACTTAACGGATAATGTCTGCTTGTTATCCTTTTTGGATGGGAAGTCTGATCTCCTCATGTTCAGGAGGGCTAAGTGTTTCCAATTAGTCCCTGGGCCGGTTATCCATGGGGGGTTTATCTGCAGATTCCCATATAAATAGCAACAATCAACTCGAGAAAAGAAAGTTTATTTATTTGTCTATTATTATTATTATTATTTTTGGGGGGTAGGGGGGTTGGGGTTTGAACTAGGGGGCAAAATTGAAAGGAAAGTCTCCTCTAAAGAAGGAATTAACATATTCCGTTTGTCATTGTGAGACCTGAAAGTGTTAAGAGAGACCACAAAAAATTATTATAGATTATTTACTACTGCATGGTCTTGGAGGAATATAATGAAGAAATATAAAGGTAAATAACTTAAGTTGAGATCTTTTGATTTAGATTTTACACCAGACTTTACACAGTTCGGTTGTTGGAGACAAAGGTGCAGACATACAAGAAGCAGAAATGAAGGTGTGGGTCGTTCAAAGTTAACCAAGATAATTGCATCTCTAGACATAGTATTGTTTGACAAAATTTCAATTGCATTTTTCCTTTTGTTTTGTCTCCTGCTGTTAACTAATAATACCAAGACATTTATACACTCAACACAGCAACTTATCAATATGTGTCTCACACCAGCTGTATTGATATTATAAGGGTAGCTCATGAGTAACCCTATACGTGCTAGATGCCCAGTTTCTATGTCTTCCTCTTGCTTACACTGACGCATGTAAGATATTTGGTGGATGCGTATTGAACATGTCCAACATGTATCATGTATCTGACCTTAAACCAGGTAGGTGTTAAGCTCTCATGGTTTATACGATCGCGGATTTAGAGTTTACATGAAATTTTTTGATGTAATTTATGTTATGAACCTTGAGGTTACAACATAACTTGTACTGAATCTTTGTTCCGCACACAAACACATACATATATTGTTTTATGGTTGTCTCATTACATATCCTTAATATTTAAGATCTTATGTGCCTGTATATCAGTGGCTTGCTGTATCTGTGTCCCACGTTTATATTTGTGGAACATGAATGCTAAACTTGAATTGAAGATCTTGGCCTGACCATTAACTAAACAATGAGAGAGCATCTGTTTTGTAGTTCATGGGTTTTCCTAGAATATCTGGCAAGTAGACCTAGCGTTAGGGGTGCCAAACGGTTCGGATATATCCGAACCGATCCGCATCCGTATCCGAACGGATGCGGATATGGTAAGTTAATTTTGAAACCGGGCGGATATGGTCTCGGATACGGATCCAGTTTCTGATTTTTTCGGATACAGATTCGGATACGGATATGAGGGTTGCGGATACGGATATCTGCAATGTAATAATGATTCGAGTAATCGGATCCCAAATTTATAATTACAAACCCGCTAACCCAAAACCAAAGGTAAAAAGTAAAAACCCTAGTGTGAATCACATTCCGCCTCGCCGCTGCGTCCAGCCACCCGCGTCGCCTGAGACCCGCCGCCGCCGGATCTAGCACCGGTCCACTGCCTCGTCCCGTCGCCTGCGTCCAACCACCGTCGACGTCCAGCTACCTGCGTCCAGCCACCGTAATTCCTAGTTCATAGTTGTATTCACTGCAAGGTAAAAGTGTCTGTTCATGTGCTATACTTTGATCTGGAAAGCAAAAAAGTAATTTTCTAGGATCTTTGTCTATTTCCAGTGCAAACTAATGGTTTTATGCTTGTAAAATAGATGTTATTATCATGAGTTTGTTTATTTAGGGAACTAAATTAGTCCTTTTTAGATAGCAATTACTTCCTAGTTCAAGTTCACATGAAGTGATTATGGAAAAATATTCTTTCTCTGTATGTAATTTTCTGCAAACTAGTTTGCGGTCCGTGCAAAGCATGGTATTTTTTTGCTACAGTAATCCCGCTTTTTTAATATGACATGATTTGAATTTTTAAAAGTGCTACAGTATCCCGCTCTGCTACAGTACCTTTTAAATGCTACAGTATACCCGTGTGCTACACTAATATTTTTAATTATAAGTTATAGTAAATGCTACTGTAGTATTTACTGTAGCATGAACAGTGAATCTCTGATCCTCCTATTTGTATAAAGGAATAGATATCTATGATTGTTTTATTACATTCTTATGAGGTCTTGCTTGTTTACTCACTATTTTAATTATCCGATCTTGCGAAAAATTGCATGTTCTTTCTTTGCATGGAATTCTGTGGAAGTTCTATATACTTTTTCATTTTTAACTGAGGTGATCTTAGATTCGTAAGCGCTTGTTTAATCGTCTTAACGGTTACATGTTCTTTCTCCTCAAATTCTATGACTGAGTTATACTGTAAACGAGGTGTTCTTATATGTTTAATAGATTTATGTTGAATATCCGTTTATATCCGTGATCATATCCGATCCGATTCTCAAATATCCGAACCGTATCTGTTTCTGATAAGTGCGCATATGGTTAAGGTTTTTTCTTACCGAAGGTGATCCGTATCCGTTTATAAAAAGCGGATATGGATATGGTAAGTGTCATATCCGAACCGTATCCGCTCTGATAACACCCCTACCTAGCGTGCATTAGGAATTGGGTCCTTATTTGAGGTTGCTAGGTAACTAGGATCGTTAGCAGCTGGAGCTTCTCAATTCAAGTTCTAAGTTTTGTGGAAAGCCACTATCATACCAAGGTAGAGAGTAGAGAGTGTTTCACTATGCGCAAAGAGGTTACAGGCCATGGGTAGGCTATGCTAAAGGGACAGTTTAGCCAACTCTCATGAAAAGTGAAATTCAGATCTCTACTACTGCTGTTGAAAGGTAGGGGCAGACCCTTCATTTGAATCCTAGTGTTTCAGTGTGATCCCCGGCACAAAAGGTGTCAGTATTTAAAAGTTCACCAAAATTTAAATGGTTATTACCCATTGTGATCATTGATATTTCCTTTTTCATCTCCTTTGTTATTTTTGAAGTCATCTAAGCCTGTGCTTATTTGTCTGGAATGCCTTTTATACTGACACAGGTATGCTGATCACGTGGAAGATAAACTCGTAGTATGAATGGTTCATTTACTTCACTGTTTAATCAATTAAACTCATGAAGCTTAATGACCACAGTTCATTCTTTGTTGTCTGGTTCATAGCTAATTTTAACTTGAGTGCAATATCTTCCTTTGTCGTTGTTCTTTAATTTTTTTTGATCAACTAACTTATATTTGATTGTGCTAGTAGATCATCATTTTCTTGGGTAACATCCCTTATTTCTGTTTTTGTGGCAGTTCTTAAACCGCATTGGGCTGGAATGTAGTGATCTTGAAACACTATGCATAAAAGATCAAACACTTACAAATGAAAGTGAGTTTTCTTTTCTTTTTAAGTTAAATTAAAGCATCATAATTCTTTAGCTCATTCTGATAATCTTCATTGTTGGGGTTGTCTTACAGCTGTTGATAAAATTGTTGGTTTTGCTTTGAGTTATCATCTTAAAAACCAAAAATCTGAAGCACTTTCCAAGGATACTAAGATTGTACTCTCTGCTGAAAGGTGAGTATTCTGGTCACTTGAGCCATTTATTTCTAGTCTCTAGAAACAATGGTGTCTCATGCTGATAAGTTAAACTTGAACTAGTTGACCAGGCCATAAGTTAACAATGTCTGTGACATTCCTTAGAAATTTGTAATTTTTGAATTATTTCTCCATGCACTTTACATCATTTTCGGTTTTTATGGCAGCATTAAGCATGGATTTGATATGGTCCAAAGCATCCAGAGTGATGCCAAGAGTTCAAAGAAATCCCTCAAGGTGACATAATTTAACCCTTCATTCACTCTAGTAACATTGATTTCCTGGAGCATTCTTTGTTTAAAATCTTTTCAGACTCAAGAGTTCATATATGAATTGCACAGACATTTCTGTTTTTCTGAACTTTTCTTATTGTGAGTTCTTTTAGGACGTGGTTACTGAAAATGAGTTTGAGAAGAGGCTTTTAGTCGATGTCATTCCATCTAATGAAATTGGAGTTACATTTGATGACATTGGGGCTTTAGAAAATGTGAAGGACACACTGAAGGAGCTGGTGATGCTTCCACTGCAAAGACCAGAGTTATTTTGTAGAGGACAACTGACAAAGGTTTAACTGCTTTCTCTGTCTTCCCCAGTTGTGCACTTAATGCGCTTTATTGTCATCTCCATGATTGAAGCAATTCTGCTTTAGTTTTCTTTACTTCTTTCTGTTAGTTTCCTGTAGAATCTTGATTAACATGGCTAGAAGGAATATTTGAACCAATTTTGTTTTTAATAATTTATTACCTTTTTAGCAAGGAACCTATATTAACTCTCTTAACGAACAGTAAGTTTGATCTAGTTTAATGGGCAGAAATTGACTTCTTCTACTTGTGTAGATGTTTATTATCATGTATGCATCTCGTCTCTCATATATCAGTTTAGACGCTGTTCTAAGTATCTCTAGTGAATCATTCTTGTTGTGTTACAGACTTATGATAATATGTTGCTTGAGGTTGTTAACCCTTCAATAAGGATGTGAGACCCTTAATCATATTCGTGTTTGAAATCCAATTAGACATGATGGCCAGTCTAGACTGCTTCCCCGCAACTTTACCCTTGCTGAAATTCCTAATTTCTTACATATGATTTAGTTAGTACCAAAAGTCGTCGTACTTTGGCACATCTATACTCTAACAGACAAGATTCTGGAATTGGAGTTTGAAGTCGTGTTGGAATAAAACAGACAATATTCTGTACTAAGTATATACTTGATGCATAATAAGAAACAATATATGTTCTGTACAAAAGGGATTGTGCAATTGGAGGGTAGGACTATTCTACGATGCCTGGCTTACTAATTGGAAAGTGGTGAGTCAGTGGCTGGTAACTCCCTTGTCAAAGTCCCGTTTACTGGTTGCAACCTTTCTTGAAAAAGTAAAAGAAAACATAATGATAGAGAAAAAAAAATGTTTTGCACTGACGATATTAGGTTATAGTACCAAAAGGCGCTTTCAAAAATTAATCTACTGGATAGCAAGAACTTGGATCTTTTGGGTACATCTAATTGTTTAATTCTCTGATTTTGGTTTCTACAGCTTGGAATAGAGAAGGTGCTCTTAGCGGGCATATTGCAATACACCTGTTGCTAATTATTACAATTAGTAACTTTACTGTATCACCTTTCAACTTTAGTCCACCCATTCATCTTAGTATGCCATTGCTCTAAAAAACAATATATCATGTCTCTAAGCTTTTTTTTTGGGAACATATTTGGCATGATTAACCTGTATATTATATTTTACTTTCAAGACCTTGAAATGAGAATGTGTTAGTAATCTGTGTTAATAAGTTAAGAGCTACAGCATGGTGCAGACAGATTAATGTGTGCTCACACACGAGTGCGCGCGTGCACGCGCACGCACACACACACACTCTCTCTCTCTCTGTGTGAGCGCGCGTGTGCCCACACGCACACACACACACTCTCTCTCACTCTCTCTTAAGCATACACATGAAATTCTTTTATCTCATTAATGTTCCTCTAAACTTTTTGAGACGTGGTGTACTTGAGAGAATATAATCTGTACAACCAATAACACTATAGAAGATTAATCGTAAACCCTTGTTCCCAAATATTGGGACAGGCTACATGGATTCTTTGCTCTATTGAGCTCTGTAAAGATAACTTCTCTCTTAACAAAGCAATTACTGCATCTTTTCTATTGCTTCATAACTTTTTTTCTTTACCCGTATTTCTAGCTTCTGTCATTGTTTTCAAAAGAAGTTTGGACGCCTGCCTAGGTGGCCGCTTAAACCTAAACGGTACTTAGGTTGCTCGTCTTAAGTCTTGGGAGCGCCTAGGGGAGAATGAGTTGCTTAAGAATAGTAATGATTAAAGAGAGTTAGCCAGGTTGAAATGTACTTGAGATCAAAACTCTACGCACAAGTCTATCTCAAGTAAAACAGTCAGGCTATGATTTGAATCTTCGAAAATGATCCTTCCTTTCTCGATGTTAAAAATGCCTATGAGCCGCTTAAGCATCCGCCTAGACGCTAGGTTTAGCACCTAGAAATGCTTAGAGCTTTCAAAAACATTGGCTTCTTGAAATCCTAATTCCACCTAACAGATGTTACTCATGAGTTTGCTTTCCAGATGTCCAACCTTATCAGCCATTAATTTATTCTCAATTATTACCTCTAACCTTTTTTGGGCTCTTCTCATTTCTTTCCTTTTCCTGCATCAGTGAGTCATTCGTTAAATGTTAAAAAATAGAAAGGTAGAGAGGGACTTGCAAAAGCTTCTAACGGGTGTTATTTTGTATTTATCTAAATAGCTTGTTCCAGTACATCTTGATCTTAAACAGTAATAATAGAAAGGTAGAGAGGGACTTGCAAAAGCTTCTAACTTTGCCAAAAATTAGAGAGAAATATGATAGTCATTATGGTAGCACTACATCACTACTGCATAAGTTCGCAAAAAAAAAAAGATATTTGAAAAGGAAGAATACAAAATAACACCTGAATCGTGGTGGTGAAAACATATGACTATGATAACAAAAGGTTGTGAAAATGGCCACAACTGGCGTCATTCATTAGCGGTGGCAGTCGATAGTGCGATCGTCAAAAGGATTCTCGTGATGAAGCAATGTGGGAACTTCAGGGTATTTTCCTTTCAGTTACTTGGTTGATTACTTTAGAGGAAATTGACAAATTGGGGGTTGAGATTTTTGTTTTAATTTTGTAGCTAAAAGTGTGTCGGGCAGGAATTTTACCCCTAAAGTCGCACAAATTAACTCTAATTTGTGCTCTCATAATATTATTATGCGGATGAGAACTTGGAACTAGGGTTGGAAAAAGTTGAATCGAATACTTAGGTTTCGTTTGGATACCACGATGTTTTCCTTGTTGTGTTTTTGTAAAAAAACACCATGGTGTTGTGTTTTTCCTTAAAATATTTTTAAAACACCATGTTAAGTATTTTTGGTCAACACTATTTTGACTCATTATAACATTAGTATTAAACATATTATTAATATATTATATATTAATTATAATAAAATATATTGTAAATAAAATGTTATCATATTTAGTTTACATTATTATAGTATTATAAGTATTAAATATAATGCAATATAATATTGTATAATGTATTATAATATTATATTGTACTTTAATGAGTTATACTATATTATAATTATTATTATATTATAATTATTACATATTATTTTCAAATAATTATATATTTAATTATTTTGGTATATCAATTTGTTATTGTTGTATATTATATTAATATTTTTATAATAATAATATTTTATTATTCATATAATATAATATTATTAATAATGTTAATATTATGTTATTAGTAGTATGTTATTAATAAATTAATATATTATAAATATTTTATTATTATATACAATATTATATTTTCTAATATGTTAGAGTTTATTAATAGTACTTTATATTAGTATTTTTGATATAAATAAATATTATTATGTTATCATTATTTTATTTTCACATTAACATTTGTTAGCAATAAATTATTTTATCATTAAAATTATTTCTTTATAATAAATTATATTATTTATTACATAATATATTAATATTTTATATATTATATTATATTTACTATACAATATGTTATTATAATAATATTATTATATTATTCTGTTATTATTAAATATGTTACTATTATATAATATTTTATAATTATTATTTATTACAATTTATTTATTAAAAAGTTAATAATATTATAGCGATTATACAATTGTATAGTATAAAATAATATTATTATTTATTATCACTAACTTTTTATTATTTTTTATTATTTTATTTATATTTATTTATTATATAATACATTATTAACATATTAAATATTGGTATTTAATATGTTATTATATTACTATATAAGATATTTTATTTATTATATTTTTATATTATTTAATAAGTATTACTAAAATATTAAGTTAACTATAATATAGTATAGTATAGTATAATATAATAAGCATGTTGATAATAACTCTATATTAATTATATTTAATATATTATGTTAGATATTATATTAACACCTTCTCAAACACAAAACCAAAACACCAAACTTAAAACACCTAAAAGGTGTTTTGAAGTAAGTGTTGTGTTTTTGGTTTGAGGATGATTTAGCTCAAAAAAACACCATGGTTTCTAAACGTATGGTGTTTTGTTTTTGGCAAAAACACCATGGAAACAAGCAAAACACCATGGTATCCAAACAGTTTAATTTCTTCAAATTTGAATTTGAATACAAATATTTTTGAATATTCATGAATGTTTAACGAAGATAATGGTGTGTTTATTTGACTAATAATTCATATTATATGAATACTAGACTACTTATTAAAAAAGTCGGTTTCATTTTCTTAAGAAATTTTGTTTGGAAACTTATGTAGAGCTCTTTTAAGTTGTCAAAATTATTACAGAACTTAAATTACAAACTACGAGTGGGTCAAAACATAACATCATGCATGTAATAGTATAAATTATAAAACGAAATTTTTTAATCAAATACTTGATATTTAAATGAATCGATATACATCTGTTTATACTCCATTCTTTTATGAACCGAATATTGAAAACTATTTGTTTGCTGTTAAATGAACCACTGAGTTGAACAGATTAAACAGTTAGTGGAGCAATTAGCAAACTATTTGTTAATTATTTGGTTCGTTTCCACCTGTGCCTGGAGCCTTTTCTTTTGGGCTGCATAGATGACCAAACTTTGCCACGCTCGTTTTTGGAGCGAATGGAATTATGCATTGGCGGTGTAATCCCTATTTTAAGACATGGAATCAATGTTTGTTTTGGCTGCGCCTGTTTTTCTGATATGTTTGTTAATAATCTCTGGCATTAATTTTTTCTCTTGGAATGATAGTGTCCTGTATCAAAAGTTTGAGTTGCATCAAACTTTTTCAGCTCATCACATATGTGCTTGGTCTTTGTCATTAGCCATATATGTTAACTTGAATTCTAACTGCATTGAACAATCCAGGATTATGAAGATACCACATGAGATCTTTGACACAAATGAAGAAAATGGAGTAGCCAGTCCCACAAAGACCTGCAATTACCCATTTTCATATATGGAATTGCATGAATTTGCACAACTTATAGATGACTGACAGCCTCTCACACATCAATTCATTCTTACTGAATTCTAGTTATAGTTTTAGGAGAGATGGAAAATATGTGTAAAGGACACTCAATCCATGAATCACCATGTGTTTATAGACACTTAGGATCCCCTTTTTTAAAGCCTGTCAGTCTCTGATGCATTCATTGACATTTCAAGATCTTCATTTTCTTTTCTACTTTGATTATTATTTTTCAAGAAATACCCATACACGTAGGAATAAGTAATGAGGCTTGAGGAAGACTATGAGTGAAGGGGAGAGACCCCCCAGAAAAGCTTCATGCAGTTATTGAAAGCTTCCATCAAGGGAGGAAAAGCTCTTCTAGAGAAACAATATGCATGTTCTCCTGTTGCCCACATGGAGCATAACGAGCCTCCACAAGCCTCTAGCTTGTGTGCCATCAGCTAAGTTGTTGGCCTAGTAAGGGCAGTAGTAAACCCCCTGTATTTTAAATTTGAACATTCTCTCACCTGTTTGGTGTGGAAACATTAAACATATGATGCCTAGTAATCAAAGCAAGAGGTGTAAAGCGTGAGCTAGGGCACTTTGTAACTTTAGGACCTTTTTTCATATGAGAAAGATTTCTGCTTCACTCATTCTATTTTCGTCCCATTGCATGTCATGCTTTATTGTGTTGAACAATCTCCATAACCCATAAACAAATCTGGGGTGATCATAATAGCAATAGAGCGTGCAAGCCAGTATCTTGCAGAAAGCTATTTCGAGACAACAATGCACGCAAAAAGCAATTACTAAAGGCAGGGAGGAGGTTCAATGGATTTTGAAAGTTGTTCTTCTTGAAGTATCAATGTCATGAATTCACCTAAAATTCCCCTGCAACCCAAACCAGACCGACCAGCCAATCCAAAATATGTACAGAAACTAGACTCTTGGAGTAATTGAGGTTCAAGAAGGGAACTGACAACCTTTAGTCTAGAGGTCCTCTTATTCTTTTTTTTTGGTCAATGAAAAATATTTTTATTCATTACCAAAAATAAAATTGAATTACATCTCTTAATTTTCAAACAGAGCCTGTCATGGCTCCGATTACTCAAGGCAATCTCTCAATGTATTCCTTTACATGAATTGGGATTTTCTCATTCAGAAGTTTAGAGTATATGGTCCTCTTATTCTTATCTGTCTCATAATTAGTTTCTTTGATATAATATGATAATGCCTATAGTTTTCTTCATTGTAGGTTTTAAAGTTACAGAATTTGTAATTTTTGAGCGATTTTGATGACTTGATGTACATAAAAGAGTATAGATTGGACAACTATAACGATGAAATTTTTTTCATGGTCTCAAACTAATAGCAATACTGGCATAATGAAGAGGCTTTTTTTGCTAGCAAGGGTATTTCATTCCTCGAGTTATTCAATACATTGTAAAACCATGATGGTTACTTAAACTTCTTCCTACCAATGTACCAACAGTTCAGTAATGTTTCTCATCTACTGGTTGAATTAGTTGCTGTCCATATTTAACAAGAACCTTTTAAGTAGTCAATGGACTAAGTAGTAGCATTGGATAACTACCAACACAAATCATATGTTAGGTATGATACATTTTAGACCTGATGGAAGTTGTTTGGGTTGTTTATTCGTACTGGTAATGCCCATCCATAAGCGCTCTTCCTCTCTCTCTCTCTCTCACACACACACACACACACACACACACACAAATTGAGCACATCTTACGAAATGTGAAATGTTCAGCGTCTGGTAGATTTTATTGATCTTGGGAAATTCTCTATTTCACCAATATTAATCCAAAATGAAATGGAGGATATCTTTATTACATGTAAAATCTGATATCGCTGCCATTATAAGAAAAAAAAAATCAAAAGGATTGCTAACTTCACTGGTATCTCTTCAGAGTATATTTCTACATGGATGGTATACTTTTGTAGTGACATTTATGATTACTTAGAATCTTACTTCTCACATTTGTATTGCTCTTCAGCCTTGCAAAGGGATATTGCTTTTTGGTCCTCCGGGTACTGGAAAAACAATGCTTGCTAAGGCTGTTGCAACAGAGGCAGGTGCAAACTTCATCAACATATCAATGTCGAGCATCACTTCTAAGGTACTATTTCATATATGAGAACATGATATTTAGCATATTTTGTTTCCTTTGATGCTCGTGAAATTCAATAACCAATGGTTCTTTTGTTACAGTGGTTTGGTGAAGGGGAAAAATATGTCAAAGCTGTGTTTTCATTAGCGAGTAAAATTGCTCCCAGTGTTATTTTTGTAGACGAGGTTAGTACAATCTACTTGTATCATTATCTCAATCAACATAATTGATGCTTGGCAATATTAATCTAGCATCTTTTGCTTTGTTTTGCCACTCATGGTAGCAGCTCTGAGTTGGAACAAAGTGTTTCATGTGGCCTAAACAAGAGCATGAAACAGATATAGGCATACCAATTTTGTAACATACTGGTCTAAGGATGTGTGTAAATGCATGTCTTTGTACGCATGACTGTAACATAACTAAAGAATCAATTATTAAACAAGTCTGGAAACATTCATTCTTTTTCTCAGAGTTTCAAAGGTTTTTTTCGTTGGAATCATAGATGGTGGGGCATGAGCGGTCGATTTTTTCTATAACCTCATGTCTCCTTGCTTTTGAATTGCATATGGATCTCAAGGTAGGGACATGGGCAGCAATTATGTTGGGAATTCAATGCATGTTTTAACTAGTTATCAAGTGAGGGTAGAGCACTCAAGATCAATATAAATCTCATGAATGCCGTTAGGGAAATAATTTGTCTCACAATTTAAGCCTGACAAATTGAAGTTTTAGGTTGGCTAGGTGCCCAGGCCATGTCCATGGGGACGTATCGTGCACATCTTAACCATAAACAACTATAGTTCCTGTTCTATAGAACATGGCGATTGTTCTTGTTGATACTTGGTTTTCATTTTACAGGTTGATAGTATGTTAGGTAGAAGAGAAAATCCTGGAGAACATGAAGCCATGCGTAAGATGAAAAATGAATTTATGGTGAACTGGGATGGACTTCGAACAAAAGATAAAGAACGTGTACTGGTTCTCGGAGCAACAAATAGACCTTTTGATCTTGACGAGGCTGTCATAAGGAGGCTTCCCCGGAGGTGAGAACTAGTGTTATGAGAAAATAATGTGTTGTTGCGTGTTTCTCTGACCAGGAAGGCATGTCTCATGATACTGTTTTGAATAAATTTTTAGATTAATGGTGAATCTACCAGACTCAACGAATAGAGAAAAAATTCTTAAGGTAATTCTGGCCAAAGAAGAATTGGCTCCAGATGTTGATTTGGAAGCGATTGCAAATATGACTGATGGATACTCAGGAAGTGACCTGAAGGTTTGTCTAGTCTTGCACTTTCTTTCGGGAAGAATATCTTAGCTTTGTGTTTTAATCAGGATTGCTCTTATATGTGTTATAACCTTTCTGTTTTAGAATCTTTGCGTTACTGCTGCACACTGCCCCATTAGAGAGATTTTGGAAAAGGAAAAGAAGGTATATACTTTGATTTTATTTTTTTATATTTTTTTTAATTATCAAACTTTGCTTACACATTCTATATATCAGTTGTAACTTCTCATATTTTGTTTTTCCCCCCAGAGTAATTGAGATATATAGTCATGAATCATTTATATTTGTGTCTTGATGTGTGTGTATTGTGTTTTTCATTAAACTTAGAAATAAGAGCTTAATTACATGCTGGATTCCTTACTGTTTGATCTTTCAACATCTGACTCAATTAATAATTAGAAAACAGGCGAAAAAGTTTAAGATTGCATGGGGATCACATTAGATCTTTTGTTCTTCGTCTACCAAATTTTATCCCTAGTATGATCTTTTGCTTCTTATCAATCTTCCATTACATGTCATCAACATGATGAAAACGAACTGGATATCAGAGTTCTTTTATGTTTCTTTTATACACTCTTGCCCCTGTATCATTAACAAATGTAGGATATTGGACAAAGGAACATGATTCTATTGTTGCTTCATCAGTAGACTAGATATCTTTCCTAACAGCAATTATTTTGGATGTGGGATGCCTTAATGAAAATAAATTTTTTGAATCCAACATCAATAAAAAACGGAGGCCAAATGTGGATCGGAACACTTGATTGAAAAGAATAGAAAAAGGCATATGAGTGCTAATTTAGTTCAGATTTGAACTTCTCTAGGTACAGATAAGCTGATAGAACTAACGATAGAACTAACAAAAAAGGAAAAAGAGGGAAAAAATGAAGCTCTGTGCATAAGAGAATTGTGCTGGAGACTGTAAACGAACACAATTTAAATAGAAGGCATCAGCGTAACTTTTTTTTATTGGGAAATAGTCTCAAACTCTTCCTTCCGGATTAAGTGAGCTTTCAAAACACTTGGTTCTATGTCTTCTAAAGTTGAAGATAATATAGGTTTGAACTTCTTCGAGTTCCAGCAAAGGTAGGTCATGCATAATGGCAAGAGGCCTCAAAACTCTTTTATTGCATGACAGCAGATAGCAAGTGAACCTGAAACCAGTGTGGTAACTCTAAATTTCATCCTCTCCATAGTTAGCTTGAAAAAGTTATAGAGAAGAGAGATTAAACATAAAAAAGGAGAAGGAAAGAGTAGGCACTGGTCACATGTTTGCTTGCTTTCTTTACCTTGAGATTCGGTCTGGCCCCCATTGGATTCTAAGCTTTTCAGCTTCCTGGAAGAGCTAGCCGAGGACTAGCACTAGGCACATTACTCCCTGTTTCTCTCTATGTACTGTAACCAATTCTGGATACACAGAGTGGTGATAATAATCATGATATTATGACCTGACGAGTTGATCCTCATTGGGAGTGCTTCCAAAATCCTTCATCCTCACTATTCTTCTTATTCAAAATATCATAGAACCTATATGTAAATAATTTTGGATAGCTGAGAGTTTTCTAAAGCATGAATGTGTTAATTAGTTAGTTACAAAGCCTTCTGTTTTTTATATAGTTGATATATTGACTAGAAAAATCTAAATTAGATAATTTTCAATCAATACACAGATTATTTACATCCAAATCAAAATGGAGGGTGTCAATCATTAAGTGAAGTATCCTACTGGCTAGCAAGTGATAAGAATCTCATTTTTGACCCCTCTCGCTCAGGAGGGATTAGAATCTTTTGATAGGGCATCTTTTCTAAGGATGTGTTTGGCAACTCCACGAAACTAGTTTTATTGGGTACGATCTTGGCCAAAAAATTAGTTTTTAGTTTGACAATAATTAGGCCAAAATTGAACTAGTTTTCTTAGTTCAAATTCTAACCTATAAACTTTGTTTTCTAAAGCTTAAATCAAACTAATTTTATGTGTTAGTTAGTTACAAATCCTTCCGGTTTTTATATTGTTGATATATTGACTAAAAAAAAAATCTGTAGTAGACAATTTTTAATACACAGATTAGTTGACATCTGAACAAAAATGGATTGTGCCAATCATTGAATTAAGCATCCTATTGGCTAGCAAATGATAGGAATCTAATTTGATCCCTCTCTCCCTCCCTCTTAGGGAAGGGATTAGAATCTTTGTTAGGGCATCTTTATAGTTCACTCTTTGGGAGTTAATCTACCTTATTTAGGGCATTAAAAAGAAAAAAAATCAAGTGTTTTTTTCCTTCTAATTTTGGGTAAATGTCACTTGACCCTCCTGATTTTTTTTTTTTGTTTTTTATTTTTTGGGGGTAGGGGTGGGGGCTCAAATAACCCCCCCTAAACTATGTTTATTCTGCCTAATCCCTCCGTTAATGGTGAAATGACCACAATGCCTATTTTTAAATATACCGCCAAAAATGAGGGGTAACCTTTAATTAACTGAGGGGCATTTAATCCATTGTTGTCACATGCTTGGTGCATGAACTATCAAATTTCACGGTGTTAGATTTGTGCGGGTTAAGTGAGTTAAGTTCAAGAGAGTTAATTGGAATAAAAAAATTTTGCATGCCTTCCCCCCAACAACACCCCAGCACAAAAATTAAAAGGAAATCAGAGAGATTGTTTAAGTGAAATTTACGGTTACCCTAATTTTTTCGTCCAAGCATAAAACAAACATAAATGTCCAGTGGAACATGATATGATACATCTAAAACATTCTATACTATTAAACTAATGAACTTGCTTTTTGGACCATTTCATTTCATGCATTGTTGTTGTATGAGCAAAATAATAAGAAATTTCATGTTTTATTTTAGACACTTGGGATGTTGTAGAATCAACTTCAACATAGTTGATTTTTCACATATATCGATTGGGAATGATTTGGCTCCGTAACATTTGGGAAGAAAAGCCGCCACCACACAAAATACATACTCAAATGCACTCACATACATGTGTATTTTTATGTTCTATTTATTCTATCATGCTGAGCAGCTTGATAGTTAATTGCATACCTGCAGGAGAGGAGCTTGGCGTTAGCAGAAGATAGGCCACTACCTCCATTGCGTTGCAGTGATGACATTCGTCCTCTCAACATGGATGACTTCAAATTTGCTCATGAGCAGGTAGTTTAGCCCGTTGTGATATTCTACGAGCGAGGGAGGATAGACCTTCCTAGACCTGCTATAGCTAAAACTCTTTATGTTTTTTCTAAAGAACCTAGTGAGAATATAGATGCTTTATTGTGTGTGCTTTTAAACAGGTGTGTGCAAGTGTATCATCTGAATCCACAAATATGAACGAGCTTCAACAGTGGAATGATCTCTATGGTGAAGGTGGATCAAGAAAGAAGAAAGCACTGAGCTATTTCATGTAGAGGAAGTTATCCATTATGAGTGTACAGCTCTTTTCCTTCTCTTTCTTTTGAACCCCAGCAAAGCTTGGGAGGATCGTTAGTGTTGGATATAGATGGTGATGGTGGCAGCATTTTGGGTTCTTGGTGTATATGATATCATATACATGTTCAATTATTCGATCTTTCTTTTTATTTTAAATTAAGTTTTAACTTATCTGAGAAAATTGCCACCGATTGTTTTTCATTTTAAGTGTATTTTGTTTTATACCTTTGTGTCTGTAATTTGGCACTCTTACCAAGAGGCCTCACCCCCTGTTTGTACATACACATACCGTCCCCCCCAGAGGAGAATCATGTGGTTTAGTTGTTTTTCCCCCGTCCCTTGTTTGTCTATTTTTGTTTTTTGAACTCTTGTTTACTTGGAGCTCTCTTCGTAATTGCAGGTGTTAAGAGTGTGAGCATGCCATCATAAATTGACCATCTCAGTTTCTCTTGATTTCTTCAACTAACATATTACCCTGTTGTCATTGACATTCAAGCTACGTATAGGATATATGATTAGAAATATGCAAACATATGACTGCCAACTGTTTTTCCAGCATGAAACTCTGACTAGGTATTGACATTCAAGCTACGTAAAGGATTTTTTTTTTCTGGATTTTTTTTTTCTTCCGCACAACAAATTATTTGTCATATATTAACTTTTTGTTCAGCTTTTGCTGGTAAAGACCGTCGAGTAATATGTGGCGTTACGCTCTTGATCAACCTTTCTTTTATAGTTTCAGCCCTTCATATTATCTTCACACTGTCCCGTAAATGTTGTTCAAAGTTCTGTTGGCTAGGGTTCGGAGCAGGGTATAAATGTTAGTTAGTTGTCCATCCTTAAAAAACAGAATATTATATACATACAAGAAATCACACAGCAACTGGTAGGGAGGTGACCCTCATATGGGCTAGTATATCACCAACTAAAAAAACAAACCCACCAAAAAAAAAAAAAAAAAAAAAAAATACAAAAAAAAAAAAAAAAAAAAACTAATTTTAGACCACTCTTTACTTTTCAATGATCGTTTAAAGACGTAGGGACTTGGTGAACATTTTCGAACGCCTGAAGTTGTTATTTACTTCACAGTAGATTGTAAACAATAAAATGGATTGCTTCCTGTTTTGTCTGCTAAATCGATAAATTTGCATAGCTCGTTTCCTTTTGAATTCGGACCTGTTACTTCTTACATCACAAGCAAACTCCTACATACGTACTCGTCCCTACCAAAAAGGAGTGACACAAATATTTCCGTCTATATACACCTTCGGCACTTGAACTTGCTCTCTCCATAACGTTATACGTAGGCACATATAATGAGAACATGCGAGAATAATATTAGCCAGGGAAAAAATGTACAGATACTCAGGAATATATGGGGAATTGATAGTTGTGAGGTAGCGGCTAATTTAGTAAAATCAGCTATCAAGAGATGAAATAGTGAGGTCCACACCTTTTGATGGGACAAATAGAGCGGGTCACATCACATTGTGCATCTCCTGGTAGCTTAATTTGTAAAATGAGCTACCATCGTATACCTACTTTTATATATATAAAAAATCTCTTCATATCTTTCATGGATCCCTAGGCAACATCAATGACTAAAAAGTTTAGTGGATAACTTTTTGCTATCCACTTAAGTTGACACAAATTTTGCTCTCTCTCTCTCTCTCTATATATATATATATATATATATATAGAGAGAGAGAGAGTGTGTGTGTGTGATTAATGAGTATCCTTGTCATAGGAGGGGATTTCCTCCTTGACGCCTCTAAAATCACATGATTGAACGACATTATGGATGATCCGCTCCGTTGAACTTGATCTACATATTCTAAAACCCCAACACACCAAGTTTGGGGTGAATCCGTCGTCGTTTGACCCTCCATCCACTCGTATGAAAAGTTCTATTCATTCAAAACGTTAAAATTGATACAGTGGATGGAGGGTCCAAACGACGACGGGTTCACCCAAACTTGGGTGTTGGGCGTTTAGAATATGTAGATCAAGTTCAAGCGGAGCGGATCATCCACAATGCGCTCATCATGTTATTTAGAGGACCGTCAAGGAAGAAATCCCCTCGCTATGACCAAGATAAACCCCATTATCTATATATAGTACTATATAATTACTAATATATATATAGAGAAGAGAAAATATTGGTATGGGCTGGTACCAAGCACAAAAGTTGGCCTTGTAGTGATGTGTCAAATCCCCATCCACTCATTAAATGTAGAACAAATTTAAATGGGTACAGTGATGTGGATGAGATGTGACACCATCTGCCAAGCACAAAATTTGTGCCTTGTACCAAGCATACCATATTCTACTCATATTATATATATATATATAATATAGATATATTTATATATACGTATAATATATTATATATTATATATATAATATTGAGAGAGAGAGAGAGAGAGAGAGAGAGAGAGAGAGAGAGTCGCGCACACACACATGTACATGTACATATACATATATGTATGTGTAAGTGATATGGTGAGATAGTTTGCTTAATGTGAGATGACTATTTTATACCGTTAGATTCAAATTAATGATTAGATTGAAACTAATGTGTTAACTAATTAAAGATATGTGGCCCCTACAATTATTTAATTTCCCTGTCAAATCTTCTTTAACCCTAACCAGAAACCAAACCCTAACTCTAATCCAAACCCTAACCCAACCCGAACCCGAACCCGAACCCGAACCCTAATCCTAACCCTAACCTAAACTCTAACCCGAACATGAACCCATTAACCCTAACTCAAACCCGAACCAGTAACCCTAACCCTAATCCGAACTCTAACCTAACACTAAACCCGAACCCGAACCCAAACCCAATAACTCGAACCCTAACCCAAACCCTAAACCTAACCCTAACCCGAACCCGAACCCAAATAAATACAAATAAATGTGGGGGCCACATATCTTTAATTAATAAATCTATTAGTTTGAATCTAACAATTAATTTGAATCTAACGTGTAGAATGTCTATCTCACATTAAGCAAACCATCTCATCATCTCATCTTATCGCTTACACACACACATACATATATATATGAATGAAATTTATACACATATCAAAAATACGAAGGAAAAAAAACTCTTCTGATCATTAGTTGTATCCCATAAATAAATAAATAAATACATAAATAAATAAAGAAAAAAGAAAAGAAAAATAAATAAATAAAGCATCAAAGAACCGCTAATCTCTGTGAGATCACATGCTGTGGTTAATGAGTTCACATACAATCACCACTCCCATAACCAGGAACTGACCATGATTAGGTTCCACAGTTAGTCTTAACACATCCTTGTTGCGCGCAGCGGAAATTTCGGCAGCACTTCGGCATCACAACAAGAAAGTCAGATCGCAATAAGAATTTCCGTCTCACCAAGGAAACAAGAATCTGAAGCGAATATCTCAATAAAGTGAGATATCGGCTCTTCCTCTCATCAGTTCTAGGACTGACCTTCGAGGGATCCTAAAAGCTATTACAAATCACACAAAAACGATACAACCAATCTGTCGAGGATGTGTTAGTCTTAACACATCTAACACATCCTCTCCAACTTCAACTCCAGAAGCTTGTAAGCTTCCTCTTTACCTGCATAACACCCAATCGAACTTTCATTAACCTTAATCTCATGCCATAATGACCCTTTAACTAAACTTTAACAAACCTTTTATGATATTTAATTTACAAGTTATATCCATACCTCAGCAACTGGCTCTCATGCCACGTCAATTGTCTTGCACTCAGTCTTGCTTGGTGAACCAAGAGTCTTGTAACAAGTAAGATGATTACTTCCACCCCCAACCGTAACAGTGACCTCAAAATTCTTGCCTCTCGTCAACATTCTGCGAGCTTTTCGAACTCTAAACCAGGGTTCTCTCTTCTACTGACGATCCATCACCTTGATATCCTTCTCATTGGCCAAAACTCTCAGTTTCTGTACAATAAGCAAATAATCTTTGATAACAGTTTACTAACTGATACACACAGTATTTCCTTTTATTTACTTTCTATGTATTCTAGTCAGTGTCCTGCAGCTATGATCCATGAGGTAAACCTCATTGCTGCACCTCCAAGCATAATTATCGGCACGATCTGCTCACCAGAATTATAAACAGGGCATCCATTTCCATTCAACATGAGTGATCTCATCCGTGTTGTAAGAACCTGAGAAGAGGGAGAAGGGAGATGTGCTTGAAGATAAACCTTAGCCATTAGAACTTGGAAACTAACAAGTTTGCATTGTATTAGGACAATGATCCAACCCTTTTATAGGTCAGGACTCCTTTGCTGACTGTGGCATATAATATTGGATATCAACAACACATGTAAATTACACCGTTAGCTGGAAAGAAGAAGATGCTTCTTTAAAAAAATTAATTTTGGATTTTTTTGCAACAAAAGTTCACATAAAAGAGCACTACAGTTGATGCTTTATTCACGAACATAGTGTCACATGCTGTTTTCTGAATAATATAAATCAAGAGAGGAAGCATCTCATCTGCTGTTGCAAATCTTGGTGGAGATCTGGGATTTGAATAGAATGTATTGGCCTATACTATATATATAGAAATCAATTATAAATTATTATAAATTTCAAATTGCAGATTATCTAATCATTGCACATCAAGTCTCTTGACAGCGAGTGAATATTACAAGTCTGAAACCAGAAAAAGGTAGCTGAAAAGATACAAATGACATCATAGTAAAACTTTAATCTGAGAAAAGCTATTTAGCAAAGTTTTTCTGGGAACAAGTTATTTGGTATAGTTGACAATTTGGATGTGCTGGGACTATAATTATCATACTTTTTTTTGGTCAATGAAAAAATATTATTCATTTTCCAAAAATGTGCAGTTATGGACACTAGATACTTAGTAAACAGAAAACTGAGTGAACAGAAAACAGAAAACTGGGAATCAAATTAAAGAAACAAAAACAAGAAAAGAAAACCCCCAGCCAACAAAAAAAATTTACAGGG